GGCTATCCTTTCTATTCTTTGGCAGGCAAGCCTCATATAACCGTGGATCCAGAATTCCAATATTATATCCGGTTTAGCCACGAGATTACTGCGCCAATTTGACGATCCTTCTTTGCCGTGACATTACATTCTTCAAATCATTTTAATGGACTAATCTAGAGAGGTTTAGCTATCCCAATTATATCAAGTCTTTGCTATAATTCACATGTATTGTTACCTATATCTTTCATTAAGAATTCTCTTAGTCCTACATTTGTTTATATCAGCCTATTACTCTATTCAGCTGACAAACCTCACGCGTCATAACCGAATATTATATAGTTCTGTCACGATTCGGAATTTATGGTACATCTTCGTCTTAATTTCGAAAATGTCACTTTTTACCCTGTGATGCTATGGAAAAAAATAGTAAAACCTATTGCCATTTGAGTTCATTCAAGCTTAATAAAACGACCAATTTATAAATTGGATAAAAATATATCTGTTTCCTAGCAGTAACCTTTATCGTTTTTTTGCGAAGTTTGTTTTTGATACAGCAAATTCATCATGAAAACTTATACCGTTGATTCACCTAAGTTTAACTGATAAATATGTGCATCATTAGGCGATATGTGAATTTTCTCCCGATGGCTTTTTCGGCTTCTTCAATTAATGGGATAATATAAATTCCATCGAACCTAAATTGAAATAATATAAAGATAAGCTTATCAAACCTTTCTGAAGAATGAGGCCGTACATGTTTAGAATTGTCTAAACTTTTTTGTCTTTTTTTCAAACTCTTGATGGCAATTACACCAATAAGTGAATAATATAATGCTTCTTATGATAAAAATTCCGTTACCTTTCTATATTGCCTCACAATCTCAATCTCAATCGCTATTAAGTTTGCATGTGATTCAATATTTTCTAATTTTATCAATTCGATTTGAAAGATTTATAATTGCATTAAGATCCATTCGTGCACTCTCTCTTCCATATTATCCATAAGTTATTTATAAACTACATCTTCGATATCTTCAGGTTCTATAACACTTTCTTGCAATTCATAAATATTATTCATCTTCTGCTCTTAACGTTTCCGTTTTTTGCCTTTATTTATACGAGTTAAGCATTCGATACATGTTTCTTTATTGGTTTCAAATCCATTAATTTATTTTTATTATTCGGCAAACGAACATTTTTTTAAATTCGATTGGGTTGAATAGTCGGATTCCATTAATGAAAAATTTGGTGAAAAAATTTTTAAGCGACATTTGTTATTAAGCTACAATATATAAACAAACATTGTCATTATTAACTCATTATTAACTATGACTGATACATGCGTCATTAAAATTTCGGTAATTAATTCCAACTCCGTACGTAACTGATCGTGGTGGTTATGATAGGTTCGTGGGGAAAACCCACATGCTGGCTTTCAATTATATTTTGTGTACAGTTAGTCGTCTATGGAAAATTTATCATCATGATAGGTTTTCCATAGACGACTAACTGTACACAAAATATAATTGAAAGCCAGCATGTGGGTTTTCTCTTGACGGCACTCATATATATATATATATATTGCGTTTAAAGAAAAACTGTACAGTATTTAAAGTGTTCAAAATTCATTTTGTTCTATGTACTTGGAACTAAAAGGAGGTATGAATTTAGAGAAAATTTTATTAAGAGTTGCGCCTAGAGGACATGCACTTAAAGTTTACTGTATTTATTCGAATTCGAGCCTACAATTATATGTAGTGCATTATATGTACAATTTTTGTTCCGATATTGATTTTAGGAAATACGAAAGATAGAACTTTTCTTCGATATAAGATACCAATAGTTTGATTATATACCGAAAGCAAAAATTATATAATCAATTGTCACTCCACCTAATAAATGGGGATGACTATTAAGTAAAAAATATTGTATACGTGTCAAATGCACTGTACTAAGTTTTACATCTACGAAGGAATGAAACATTCGCCTAGATAATTGAAATAATTGACACCATATGTTACGACCGATTAGATAGATAACTATTAGTATACCTAAGTAGTATAAGTAAATAATTAATTAAGTTTTTATCATTATCGATTCTGAATTTTTAATTATTACGTAAATTATATTTTTTTACAGATACTACTGTAGAGACATATAATGTAACTTTTGTATATTTCAGCTAAAAATTGCGAATTAATTGTTCGTTTTTATTTATTTCCTGAATTTCTCGAGAAAGTTTTCTTTGCGCTATAAAATCGGGACACCATTTTACTCGGATAAATTTATTTAAATGTAATGTTATCAGAGTATTTAACAAGATTATGATACAATTTGTAAAAAATAAATAATAACAATATACAAAAATAATTTAACTATTTATTCTCCAAACCACTCTACGTGTAAAATTATTTTTAGATGCACACATTATTAGTCATCGAAATCGCATCTGAATCATCACAATTCAAATTTGCATTATACATAAAACCGCAATCATGAATTAATGGTTCATCGGGAATATCTTCGCAAGGTGGAGGACCCCAAAGTGCATTGTGTAATGCAGATTTGACATAACAATTAACTCCACATGGATTTAATTCTGGAGGACTGCCGCCTAAGAAATGGCGTTTTTTGAATTTAAGCACGTCCCTTTTATAAGGGCCCATTGGTTTACATGAACGTTTCTTGTGATCATTGTAGTTGATTAGAGATGAATTTGGAGAACGTTTCTTGTGGAAATTGGAGTAGGTTGGGGATGAATTTAGAGAACATCTCTTGTTATATGGGTTACTATGATAAGCTCGCCCACGAGAAGAACGAATCATATGATTAGTTCCGTCGCTACGTATTCTAGGCTTTGAATCCTTGGTTAGTTCTCGACGTTCATAGGGGTTTATGACATGTGATGCGATTAAGGTTGAAAAAATTAGAAATAGAATAAAATTTAAAAGTATTTTAGAATAACCGTACATGTTTATTCTATTTTATTATTTAGCAAGATTTAATGAGAAAAGTCAACAAATTTGAGATGGATATTGTATATATATTTATGGAACGTGTATGCATCAATTGAGTTCATTCTACGAGATTTATGAAATTTTATGGATTTTATGTTCATGTATTTGATTAATATCGACTAATATAAAATAAATTACGAAATATGATCAAAAGAATGTATAAAGCATCACTGCATGAATATTATTCACATAGTGATTTTGGAGTATAGATTAGTTATAACTAATCACCTCGCTGATGATTTAATTTACCAACTGTATAATTGTAACAAGACCGTGTAATACGTATATCCGTGATTGTATCTCATAATAATCTAAACAAATTATATATCGATATACTGTAAAATAGGTCAATGAATATTTTTGTTAGTAAAAAAAGTGATTTCATGATAAAAATTAATAGTTATTTGATTGGTCAATTTTAAGCGCCGAAGGTGCGCAAAATTCGGCCAATCAGATCATATGCGCAAATACCGGTAAGATACCATAGTGCCCTAATTCTAGTAAAGCGCGATAACGTTTTACTAGAATTCGAAACACTATAGTATAGTTATGAGTTGCTTCGTGCTATAATAACCGGATATACTGCATTTATATTTATTGGTTTGCATACCAACTGTTGGCGTTTGAGTTTTTAAATTTTTATGCACGTGAGTTACTACACACGTCCGGATTTAAAATAATCCGGATAACGTGTGCATAAAAATCATAAATTTCAAATGCCAATTGATAACGGTAAATGCAAAATCCGATAAATAGAAAATGTTGTAATTATAAGATATCATATGACCTCACATGATAATTCGCACGTGAGCACATCTCTAATAAATATGTCAACAATAGTTATATTTAGAATGACGTATTCGAAAACCCATATACTATATAAAAAGTTTGTAGAGGTTTTATTCATATGATTGATTAATTGGTTCTAGTTACAAAGAAAAGTTCTTATATGACATACTTATAGAATGGGTGACTAAAGGATTTTTTTTTCTTACGTTCATAGTAATTTGTTTAAATAGGTGTGCATATAAAAAGACTTTTTTCTATTGAATTTTTTTTCTTTTCATGTGCTCAAACTTATTAAAATCATCTCTTTTTCGTTTATTATTTCCAGAAGTATTATCAAAATTTTTTTGTAAAATAGAAGCATTATTACGTACTACATCTTCTGAAGACTCATTGTCGTCAGAAGAATCTTCGTCAAATTTAGGATCATAAGGAATGCCTATATATCCTTCAACAAATACTTTTTCGTCATGACTTAAAGATTCAGGAAATTTTTTTGGATAATCTATCTTTTTTAGATAGGCAAGAATTTTTTTCTTATTTGTAAATGTATATGGATTACGTTCAATCTTTCTTTGAGAGAAAGACTGTACATTTTCGATATGACGATAATGCCAAATACATTCAATTCTCCATTCTGATTGACCCATATCATATTTATTCCGTTCATACCATTCTGTATAATGTTTATTGCTAGTAATAATAATATGCCGAACATTATTTATTACTTTTTTACCTTTAATGTTAAATCGCCTTTGTTGTCCAGACATAATTTTTAAAAATACAGCTAATTTTAATTGACTTCCATTAAACTCATCAAGTATTAATATTTCTTGACCATCGTATCCATCAAAATATCCTTCATCAAATCTATATGCTATATCGTCTGGATATAATTCAGTATAACTTGATTTTCCACAATTTTTATCGCCATAATGAACTTCTACGAATGGCTTCTTAAATTTAAAATTCTTTTCATCAACGCGTGCTTTTAGATTCTCTAATCCTCGTCCACTTTTAACATAAGTTTTCGGACATTTGATTGCAATTTCACGTATAGTCGTTCCAGAATTAACCATATAAATAGCCTTATTTAAAGTGTCGATTTTCATATTTGAAATATAATCTTCATCTTTCATAATATACTCTTTTACTTTTTTAGAAGTACGAACTCCTTCTACATTCGCACGATATTTTTTATCATAATTATAAATTTCAATATCGAAGAAGCGGGGATCTCTTATAGAAATTTTTGAACAAAGCTGAAAATAAGCGTGTATACGTAGGATCCCATCAGGATGAGGTTCTCGTACTACAACATAATTCATTACAATTTTCTTTTTACTTTCACATTGAGATTTAACATAATTAAGTATGTCTTCAAGATCGAGATCACATTTTGTATATGTTAAATGCAATTGGGCAGAATCTAATCTAAAATTAGTTTCAATATCAGAAAAGTCTGACATTTTGTATCGATTTTAATTTGGATTCTTGAAGACCCGTTATTCTAATCAGAAATTTCGAGACATATTTATATTTATTTTTAAATAGTGCACATTTGGACGCACATTTCTCTTGAAAATTATATATTACAAATCATCTAAAACATCAAGACATTCAAATTTATAGGTCATCAATGAACGGAAATTCGCAAAGAAAAAAAAAAGATAAAAATAAAATCTTAATATACATGACTGCGGATCTATGTAAGTAATGCTTTGTTTTTTGCAAAATTCCAAATTTCCGTCTTCTATTCATTTATTCTTGCGATATTTATTTACTGCAGTTTTCAAATCATCAAAAAAAAAAAAGAAATAATTTGATTGTTAGGTAATATATAGATCGGAGCAATTTTAGGTGTACAGAATTTTGCAGGTCATCAAAAAAGGAAGATACTCGAGCAAAATTCTGTGCACCTTGCTTAGGTTAATTATGATTTCTATAAAATACCATCTCATTTACCGGCCATGCAGTCCATTGTTTCACGTGCCTTTTCTAATACATTAAAGTAATTAAAAAATTTGGATCAAAAACGATATTTTTGAATGGCAGTAAATAGTTGGTACTTTATTTCCTGCTCCGATATAATAATCTCATATCCAGATATTGGAGTAATCACATGACAATCAAGTGTTTCTTTTATTTTACCGATTTGAAGAAGCACAGAATTTTGCAAACCGCAGAAAAGTATCATTCCTGCGCGGCGTTAATAGCTCTTACTGTAAATAAAGTGTTAAAATAGCGAATATTTTGATCTGATTAGATAATTTGCATCAGAATTTACATATCCAGCATTTTTAAATTCGTAATTAGTATTCGTAATGTGCATTCCGACGCATCCGCGCCCCAAATTTATTTACGTAATCAGTTACGCATTACTGTAACCTCAAAATTATTAAAGATTTATGTTGCATCTAAAGTAGCGATTTATCTAAAGTAGCCACTTTAGATATATAAAGTAGCGCCTGACTAAAATTAGGCCCCTGAAATTAGATCTTCATGCATGCACTAAATCGTAATTCTAGCCCAGGGCTACTTTAGATAGGGTGGCTACTTTAGATACAACATTTACATACAAAAAGCGTGTTCGAAAAAAGACAATGAAATTTGGAAAGTAATCGCAAAAAGTGTGACCCTCTGCAGATCACGATGTCATGTGAAAATCGGAGAATTTGGTTTTTCACGATTTCCAGGATTTTTAATAGATATCACAAAGTCATGCCTTTTTGCAAACTGCTATAATAGGTTCTAGTTTTCGAAATATAAATTAATCGGAGTACATTAAACGATGAATTTATTATATTTTTATATAGATCTATGTAGAACCTTTATTGAGCTTTATAAAAAATTTTATTTAAATTATATTTAAATTATGCAAACCCAACATAGATTTACATAGTTATTTATATAAATCTATATATATTTGTATATAGAATTATGTAAACTTGCAAAAATTTTTTAACTTAAATATTGAAGCTAAAATTAGATTTTAATATTTATAAATTTTTATATTTATATACTGTAAATATAGCTTGCTACTAGATACTGGACCTGTTATTAAACAACGGGTTTTGGTATTATTGATAGCAAATATATACTAAAATATAGTATGTTATCGGCATTATTAAATCACATTATGTTTAACATTACAATAATTTTTATTATAAGCTGTAGTGTAACATGAAGATTAGGTACAATATAAATTTTTTTGTTTATTTTTTGCTCAAAATTTTATCTATAAATCTACTTTTAAAGTTTTAGCAAAAAAAATTTTTTTGCAAATTTGGCATAAACTAAGTCTATCTTATCTTAGCTTTAACTATAACTTTAATCTTAATTAAAATTTAATTTTTGGTTTAATAAAAAGAATAAGTCTATTTGTAACAACATGTGGATCTCTTGCAATATAAATAATACTATTCTAAATTAATTAATTAATTATACTTTTATTAATAGCTTATCTATACTGCAAGAAATCCCAACATGTTATATAACAACCTATACTTAAATTCTCTATAACACAAAATTTTACTAAAATAATCTTTTTTATACTGCTAATGAAA